TCATGTTTTGCTTGAGGATCAAATACTTATTTTACTCGCTGAACTGCAACTCAATTTATAATATTTGTATCATGTGTTTTTTCTGGATTGTTGGTTGATTTTCGGTCTCTGTCATTTAAAATATACCTATGATAAAAAATTATAGACCTTTATTTCTTTGTAAGTGGGCAAACCTACAAAATCTGCAGGGGATCAAATAATTATTTGACACACTGTATGCTTTTGTGTATTTGGTGTTGTGTTCTTGTCTGTTTTCTTATAGTTCCATCCTGCAGTTCTCTTGATTAGTGATTAATGAGTGATGTCTTTTTTCTGTCTGGTGGGAGGAGTACATGTACATCTCAAGGGCTGTCCTGGAAGACTACTGGAAAAGGAGTTACCTTTTAGGCCCCGTTCCCACTGCGCGATATGCAAATCGCGCGTTTGTCGCGCGATTTGCATATTTGCGCGACATCGCGTTCAAGCTTGCATTGAGCAAGCTTGAATCGCGGCTAAATCCGCTCCAAAAAGGGTCCTGCTGTAGCGACACACGACCCGCGACAGCAGGACCCTTTGCCCCATTGGATTGCATTGGAGCGCGATATCGCGCGGTAATTTGCCGCGATATCGCGGGAATTACCGCGCGATAAATCGCTCAATGTGAACGGGGTCTTAGTCTACTTCCGGTTTTTTTTCTCCCATCAGTCACCACATGTTCCTCCCATTCTCTGTCCATCTCCAGTGCCTCAGAAGGACATATCCTCTTCCTGTCTAGATTTTGGTAATGCTGTGCATTGCTTCTGTGCAAAAGTTTTTTGACTCGTTCAGGCTTTCTAGAGGGTGCCTCCTGGCCTGCAGTGCCATTTATTCTGTTAGCACTGACTCTTGCTTGTTATTTGGTCAGCGGAACCACTAATTGGGAAGGGAAGCAGGGGGTTGCATATCTGTTTGCTGCTTGTGAGTTTTGTTCCTGCCTTAGGCTGGGCACACATCTTACAACTATCGCAAGACTTTTGTCTTGCGATGGTTGTAAGGTACTTAAAAAAACGTAGGCAGATCGTACTTGCGATGATCGCAAGCCATGCCCCCTGAGGGGCGGGCTTCCGATGACCGCAATGCCGAACGGGCAGTGTGTGCTTGCGCACACCGGCCCGCATGGCTTTTATCGTACGGACATGCCACAAACCCGCCGAACATCGTACGATGCTCGGCGGGTTTTCGAACATGTCCGTAAGTTAAAAGTCGTGCGACCTTACAGTAGTAGAGGTCGCACGGCTTCCACACACCTTACGATAATCGTACGATTGTGGGATTTCCCGCGATTACCGTACGATTATCGTAAGGTGTGTGGGGACCTTTAGAGGTGGTGTTTAGTTTTTCCCACCCTTCAGTAGATACTGCTTTACAATGCCCCATCGTTAAGAGTTTCAAGATCTCCATGGTGTCCTTCAATAAACAAAAGATAAAATAAGATACTTTTTGAACTTGCTGTAAAACCCTTTTCTGCATTCATTGAAGGACAGAATACCCTGATTGTCTGCGAGCAAATATTTATTTGTGTACTGGTTTCTGAGCTCTCTCCAGCACCTAGACTGTGCTTTTGTTTTTGTGCTTAGTGTCCTTTTCCTAAAAGTGATGCCATAACCCAATGATGAGAGATCCAAGGTATCTGATGTGTCTTTTAATGAACACAGAAAAAAAAAAAAAGGATTTTAGGGAGTTAAAAACATTTTTTGTTTTACTCTAACTTACCAAATGCATATACCGGTAGGTATGCATGAAACTATTTCTTTTAATTTAATTGCTTTTCAGGAATTAGTTGTTTTAGTGAGCTGTAAGAATACCAACACATTTGTCCACGTTTGTATATTAAAGGAGTTCTTCTGCTCAAGTCACAAAGCTTATAAACCAGGGTAATGATCCTTCTTTTGAAAAAGTGAGGAATATTGTCGGATGACATTTAAAAAAAATACATAGTTATAAATAAAGATCCTTTATACTTGTGTAAAAGCTTCATAAATCGAGCCTATAATGTGTTTATCCCGCAGTTGTTTTATTGAGACAATACAGTGGTTGCAGGTAACTGATTACATCTTCGATTCTTCTTCCTTCCCTCCTTTCTTCAATGATTTTACTATTTTTGTTCTATAGGCTCTGCAACAAACCTGTATGAATGTGAACTATGGATTCTCCAGCCTATATCTTCTGTAAGTGGAAGCAACAATTCTGGCCTGCCAAGGTGAGTAGCAGGTTAAAGTGTAAATCCATGCTGTAGGCAGAAATCGTACTTAGAATCACATGTGACTTATGCAAAACAAAATATATTTACCTTCTCTAGAATGGCGTTTTTGTATTGCTGCAGGTCACATCTACTTGTGGCTGCAAAGTAGCTATCATTGCATTGGAGTTTGTCGGCTACCAAATCTTAGAGTTTTAAGCTGGCCATACATTATGTGAATTTCAGTTGGTTCTTCAGGAACTGGCCAAAATTCGCACAGTGGGTGCCCCTGTCTGCACCCTTTTCGGCCGGCATCCCTCGATCAGCTAATTAAAGGAGCCAGTCGGAAAATCTTAGAAGGAACAGAGCTGGCAGCTCATCAGCTGTTTTAGGACCCAGCCAAACTTCGCACAGTGGGTGCTGCTGTTGGCACCCTTTCGGTCAGCATCCCTCGATCAGCTGATCGGAGGAGCCAGTCGGAAAACCTTTGAACGAACAGAGCCAGCAGCTAATGAGCTTCGGGCTTTGTTCGGAGTACAATAGAAACAGCGGGGATTCCTTATCGACACTCGTATAGCGTTAATATAGGAATCTGTTCTATTTATTTTTATTTTTTTTTGTTCAGCCCGCGGGTTAAATGAAAAAAAAAAATAGAACCGTGTATGGCCAGCTTTAGTAGGGACATCTACTCCACTCAGCCTTGGGAGATGAGTCTTTATTACGACAAGCAGATATGTGTCTTGTTTGCTGCAGTAATTGAAAAGATCAGCACTCACCTCATCCTTGGGAGAGCCAACCTATTGTGAATTGTTCAGCAGTCCCTAAACAAAGGTTGAACTGCCTATATGACAACATGCAAGGCTGTGATTGGGCTTATTGTGGTGGATTATTTTCCAAACTTGGGCACACTTTTGCATCTGTATGAGGCTAGGAGTGAGCCTTTATTTGGACTTCTCCAATTGCATTGTTAATCAACATTACATGATACAATATAAGTACTTTTCTTATTTAGGTGGTGGTTGGGCCTGCAGTGAAAATGACACACTATATTCTAAAAATATGAAATACTGACTGACATAGAGAAAAAAAACAAAACATAGCCCTCTAAAAACCTGACCCTCTGGCACTCTTCAAAAGAAAAACTGTTGGCTGGAGTTCCACTGTACCTTTTATCATAATGTGTGGCACAAACCTCCAAGATGTTTTAGAGCTTGCTTAGCTGGTTTGTTTTTCTGGGAAAACAGGATAAACTGTGAGCTTCAATTTCATTATAATTTGTTCTGATTTATTATCACCAAGTGCGTTTTACATATTAGGAAATGTATTGTTTCGTATATCAATAATAGGCAACCTCGACAATCCTCCAGCTGTGGTGAAAATACAAATCCCATCATGCCTCTGGAACTCATGCCTCTGGCTGTCAGTCTTTCTGTGCCTCATGGTATTTGTAGTTTCACTACAGCTGGGGTGCCGAGGATGCCTACCCTATGTGTTTTGTCATGTTTCTAGTATGTAATTCTGTCTTTTTTGTTTTTTCCTAATGGTGAAGGTTTTACCAAAATTCAAGCGGCCTTTATCCATGAACAGCAAGTTACAAGTAGAAATATTTGAAGAGAATAAACAGTTAAGTTTATCTTCCAGTTTTATAGAATTCATTACACAGTTCACAGCTTCTTTCAATTCCAACATTCAGCCAGTCACTCTAAAGTGGGAATCAAAAATTAATTACCATTAAACTATTACTATTTTTTTTTTTCTTATGCTGCGTGAACACAGTTGACCAACATCTACGAGGGAGAATCTAAAAGTTACAAATTTTGCGGTAAATGGAACAGAGAGAAGCTGTGCAATGCAGCACTTTTGCATAGCCTGTTGGATAGTTTGACCATGCGCAGTACAGCTCTCGGTATGCTCAGTACAGAAATCGAGTGACAGTCACGTAGACGCAGAAAATGGAAAGTCCCTCTGTACTCCTTACAGCGTTCCCGGCCCAAATTGTAATGGTGGTGCTCGCAGTGATAATCACGGATGGCACTGCACATCAGTAGTAAAAAAGCAGAAATCACTAGCACTCAATAAGTAATTTTCAAATGGTAGACGTCCATTTAATCGGACATAACGTCACAAACAAAAGAACCAATGTTTCGGGGCCACAAGGTCCCTTTATCAGGGTGATAATGTGACATTAATTTGTCGCATTATCACCCTGATGAAGGGACCCTGTGTGGCCCCGAAACGTTGGTTCTTTTGTTTGTGACGTTATGTCAGATTAAATGGACGTCTACCATTTGAAAATTACTTATTGAGTGCTGGTGATTTCTGCTTTTTTACTACTGATGTGCACAGTGCCATCCGTGATTATCACTGCGAGCACCACCATTACAATTTGGGTCGGGAACGCTGTAAGGAGTGCAGAGGGACTTTCCATTTTCTAAGTCACGTAGACAGGAACATGGACGCTCCGTTGCGAGATTGCACATCAAAGAACAACGTGCCATAGTGCGCTTTCTTTGGGCAGATTGAGTGAAACCAGTGGAAATTCACCATTTGATGTTGGCTCAGTATGGGCATAGCACCATGAATCAACTAAAGGTTTAAAGCGGGAAGAATAGGTGTAACTGACCAAGTTTGTTCTGGTCGCCCATCAACATCACGCACACAAGACCACAACGACAGAACCGATGCCTTGATTAGAGCAGACCAGTGGATAAGTGTCTCAATTGGCTGCATATTTGGATATCTGCTATAGATCCCCATTTGACATAGTGCATAATGACTTGGGATACAGAAAAGTCTGCGCATGATGGGTTCCCAAACAGCTCTGCACAACAAGAGCGTGTGGAGGTTGTGACCCAGTTCTTGAGACAGTCTGAAGATCAAATTATTCAGGAGAGAATGGACACTGGTGCTAAGAAATTATCGCATGTTTGGCCCACTGAAGGAATACTAGCTAAAAGCTGCTTCTCTGCAGGAATACTAGCTAGTTGTATCATTCAACTTCCTGCAACAAATGCATCATCTTTCATGTAGACTATGTGGTAAAATAAGTACTCAGTTACTTCTGTTAAAGCCGTTAAATGCATATTGCCCTTTCATTTTCATTCTCCCTTGTATATAGAGCTGCAAAATTAAGTTTGCCATTGCTTCCCTCCTAATGGAAGGAATTTGCAGAATTAATGTAAAAATGTGTTGTGAGGATCATCATTAGCATTGGAGATGTTTGTTTTCACCTAGAAATGTTATACCATGTAGGTGTAACCTAATCTGAATAAACACATTTTGTAAGAAAAAAACATGTTAATCGTGAAGAAGTTGCATTATGCTGCTGCATTGTTCTTTTACTTTTTTCTTTTCCCTCCACAGGACATCCGTAAAATACAGCAATACAAAACCATTTCTGATGGATGAGCTACAGAAAATTAGTGAAGAACTAGGTGAAAGTTTATTACATTTGTCCAATCTAATTTATGATTGGAGTGGCAACAGTACATAAATTCTCAATATGTGCTCTATGATATGCTCATGCCATTACAGATTAAAAATTAATTGTGGGGGCCTGGGTTTTTGCTTAGTTTTGGCCTTCTGATGCATTTCTGTTGATTTTTTTTTTTTT